AGGCCCAGCCCAGGTGCCCGCCCACCTGACAGCTGCGGGACTCGCTGAGCTCTGTGCCAGCCAGGCCCAGGGCAGGTGGAGTGGAGCCCAGCGCCTTCAGCACCGCACCCCGAGTTCTCGCTGGGTCCAGCGTCGAGTTGCTCAGAGCAAACCGGTTATCACCATGGCATTCGCAAGCTGGTGGTACAAGACGGTAAATAGAAGCGAACGTCCTGGGCAGGACCGGGAAGGGAAGGGAAGGTGTTCGCTTTGCCTTTCTGGGCGTGCGGACGAGGTATTGTCCGGGGTTTGGCGGGGAAGGGGTGGAGGCTGGGTGCGACCTCCGCTCGTGTCTTCAGGCTAGGCTCCGGGAGAGGCCGGGCTCACCCTGCCGTGGTATGTGGGAGCGCGCCCGGACGTGCAAGTCTGTGTGAGCAGATGCACCGGGCTCAGCTCGTGCTCAGAAGTTGAATGAAACCGGAATTTTTGCTGGAGGAATTCCGCCCCAGGACGGGGATTCCTGGATGAACTCGGACTCAGCTCTGGAGAGCTAATATCTAGTGTTTGTTTTTAACCCATGAGTAAAGCTTAAGACAGGAATGTTGTTGGCCTTGCATTCTCCAGCGCAAAGGAGAGGCAGCTGGGATGGAGGCGTGGAGAAAACCCCAAACTCCAAGGAGCAAAAGCAACTGAGTGTGGTTAAGACCCTTGGGCGGAAGGTGGGGGGTAGCGCTGCTCTGTACTTTATTACTTTGGATGAGGGACAAAGATGTTCCATTTGTTTAGTGTTTTAAATGCCAGGCCAACCGATTAGGTGTGATATCCAGTCAAGCTGGCATTTGTAATGTGTAGGAACTAGGAGGCATGATTAACATTAGATTACATTACTCATGTATACCAGTCTCTACCAGCATGTGGTATTGTAAAAAAAAAAAAAAAAAAAAGCAAGGATGTTGTAATCAGACCCTCTTTAGAAAGCAGTCTTGTGTTGGAATCAGTAAATCGTCTCTTACTAGCCAGTGACCATATACTGAACCTCTAATGTGCCAGGCAAAGTGCTAGCCTCCAGGTACACAGTGGAAAACAGGACAGGGCTCTTGTTCTCAATGGGCAATGAGTCAACTTTTTTGAACCTGTTTCCATATCTATAAAATGGGGGTGATAATAGGCACCACGTAAGGGACTCATTAGATTCACGAATCAAAGTACCGTGGGCATATACTTTTAAAATATTGGGAATGACACTTTCCCCTGAAATATTTCTTCATGAATGTTTCCCATTATGTATTCTGGGCTTTTAAAAGTTTGCTTTGAGTCATTATTGTCCTGAGGTTATCAAAATGCACCACATGAAGTCTGCAAATATGGATGTCAGTGGTTCAGAGCTGATATCAGAATCCTTCCAAACTGGTGATTCTCTCAAGGAAATTGTGGGGGAACATTTGGATGGAAGTAGTTTAAATCTATGCTTTTAACTCTTACTTTTAAGAGCAGGGTGACATTTTGTTAAAACCTCTCTTAGAATCCAATTTTGGAACTATAGTATTAGAGAAATTGTTTGCTAGTAGGAAGGTCCTAAAGTCAGCAATATGCCTGTGGCCAAACTTTGACTTTTCCTAAACCAGTGCTGTCCAGTAGAAATATAGTGAGCCACCTATGTCATTTTAAATTTTCCAGTAGCCACATAAACAAAAGAAACAGAGAACGTTAGTAGCATATTTTATTTAGCCCACTATATCTCAAACCTTATTTTAACATGTAATCACTGTATAAATCATTTATTTTAAATCTTCTTTTTCATATTAATTCTTCAAAATCCAGTTCACACTTGCCACATTTCAAGTGCTCAGTAGGCATGAGTGACTAATGGCTAAAAATGTGGACAGTACAGCTTAGGTTCCTAACCAGTTTTGTATGGTGATTGTGAGGGGGTGATCAAAGGCCATTTGAAAATTAAATGCAAGTTAAGAGCCATTTTTCCATAAAAGAATATACACTTACACACCCAACAGCCCACCGATAAATCCCCTAAAGGTCCATGGGGCCCATTTATAACATATATACATACATAATATATATGCATGTATGTATATATAATAATATATACTTTTATATAATATATTGATATATAATAGCATGGCTTTTGGTAAATCTCATAACGAATATCTTTAGTGGGATCCTTTAAATACTGAAAAAAAAAATGTGACTGACCTAACTTTAAAAATTTAGGCAGAATATAATTAATTAAAAGAAATATCTGTGATGTGTTTGTTTAAAGGAATGCCACATTTCCCTTAAACATTGCAATGTGTATTTCCACATTGAATGACATCAATATCATTGATCGTCTGAAGAATTATGTATTAAGTTAGAGCTGAAGAACATCTGATGAGCATCGTAATGATGAAGAGTAAATTTGGTTTACACCAGTAATTACATTCCTGAGTCCTAAGTTGACTTGATTAGTCCATATTAATTAAAGGTGTTCCTTCGCCTAATTAGACCCGTGGGCCCCGTGGCGGCATGATCAAGGAGCCGAGTCATTTGGGATGCCCATCCTTGCAGCCAGCCTGGGAAGAGTGTCTGTCACAAGCCTTCCATGGCTGGACAGACCACTTGGCTGCAGTGATGCTTAGGAGTAGGAATGCAAATTATAGTGTCTGCAAAAAGGACACAGGCTTCAGGTGAAGAGAGAATGGAGGTCAGACACTTTAGTCTTTAGGTTGGCAATTTATGAGTTACGTTGCTTCCCATTGCAGATAAGACTTTTAAACTAAGAGTGATATCTCATGATGGTGTTCTTTAATCAGTTTTGACACTTCCCAAAAAGTTAATTATATTCTGCAAGTGCTTTTTAAAGAATGATATAGCTTGTGGGTGGTCATTTGAGATTCTTAGGTGTATGAATAATTAGTCCTGAGTAAGTTGTTTCAGTGGAATACAAGACTTCTCTAAGCAGCCCATTTCTATTCTCTCTTTTCCTTGAGGTTTTTTGTTTTTGTTTTAATTGTGATAAAATACACATAACATACAATTTACAACTTTAGCCATTTTTAAGTGTAAAGTTCAGTGAAATGAAGTATATTCATATTCTTATGATGCCATCACCATCTCCAGAACTCTTCTTATCTTAAAAAAATTGAGACTCTATACCCATTAAACAATACATCCCAATTTGCTTTACAAACATGAATTCAAATATATAGCATTGTATTTAAGTATCTATGTTCTTTATCATTTTCCCTTTTTTATTCTATTGTAAGGAAATTTAAGATGATATTGACATATATGACATTTTGTTTATTCATTCATCTGAGAATGAACACTTAGGTTGCTTCCATTTTAGCCATTTTTAAAGGAACCACCTTACTGTTTTCCAAAGTGGTTGTACCATTTTACATTCCTACCATCAGTACACAGAGGGCCCAACTTCTTCACATGCTCACCAATACTTGGCCCACTGCCTTCTGACTTTTAAGGTTTGTAATCTTATTGAATATGCCTTGTATGTGACAGTCAATTTTTCTTGCTGCTTTCAATATTCTGTCTTTGTCTTTCAACAGTTTGATTGTAATGTGGATTTATTTGAGTTCATCCTACTTGAAGTTTGTTGAGTTTCTTTTTTTAAAATATATATTTTATTGATTTTTTACAGAGAGGAAGCGAGAGGGATAGAGAGTTAGAAACATCGATGAGAGAGAAACATTGATCAGCTGCCTCCTGCACACCCCCCACTGGTGATGTGCCCACAACACAGAGGTACACCCTTGACCAGAATCGAACCTGGGACCCTTCAGTCCACAGGCCAATGCTCTATCCACTGAGCCAAACCGGTTAGGGCGAGTTTCTTGTTTATATTCATATCTTTCATCAAATATGGGA